TGCCTTTAGATCGCTTGGAAGAAAACTGGTTAAACGCCTTGGAAAACGCACCACAGACAGATGCCAACACCAAATTAACTGACTATGTAATTCTTACATGGATAGAGGACAGATATCCACAACCAACCTGGAACCACCACCAAACAGAAGGACCCAGGACAAACAATCATTGAGAGGGCTGGCATAACAAGCTGAAAAAGAGGGTCAAAGCAGCACATCCAAACATATTTGAAATCATCAATGTGTTCAAGAAAGAGCAAGCAGCTAACGAGGTAAAGAAAGTACAATATGAAGCAGGTGGCAAGATGATGGGAAAATCTAAAAAGTATAGAGAAGTAGAAGAAAGATTCACCAGTTTGAAAGAAAACCTACACAATGGTACTACAGACTACATTCAGACATAATCTTTCAATCAGTTTAATTGAGGTCTGGAGCTGGCATATCAGTAACTGCTAGTAGTCCTTTGTTCATTTATGTATCATTGTCATTTTGCTTGGTTTCTTTTGTTACCTATTCTGACATCGGACTTGGACTTCTTTTAAACTGAGTTTTACTGTGCGTATTGCTATGTGTTTCTTTATTCTACATTAGCTAGAGGTAAAGGGGGAGGGTTGAGATCTCACAAAACATGTTTAACCCCGCCGCTTTTTTGCGCCTGTCCCAAGTCAGGAGCCTCTGGCCTTTGTTAGTCTTGTATGTTTTTTAATTTTAGTTCATTTATATGTTTTGGAGTTTAGTGTGACGTCCATTTTCACTGAATTAGTATACAATTTTATTTAGGGCCCAGCTGAGGACCACCTCCGGGTGCGGGATTTTCTCGCTGCGTTGAAGACCCATTGGTGGCCTTTAGCTGTTTTCTGCTCTTTGGTCGGGTTGTTGTCTCTTTGACATATTCCCCATTTCCATTCTCAATTTTACATTCAGTATGGTGATCTTTAAACTTGGTAACTAAATGGATTTTGAACATTCCAATGTGTCCATCAGTGCCTTGTTTTTCATAATATGAACTATCATGGTACTATTTATTTATGTTTATGGAAATAATTCTTATGTTTTATGTATTAGAGCTTTTTTCTCAGGCGATTATTTATTACATGTACATTTTCTTTAGTAGTATGCTCATTTAAAATTGTGCTTGTAATTCAGTGCTGATTCAGAAATAAAATATTTGTTATGATTGTATGATATTTGTCTTTATTTTATTCATTAAAATATGAAATATTCCGTATCCTATTTGTCATCTCTAATAAGAATCAACAACAAAGACTTATTTACAAAAAATATCACTTAAGTAAAAAAATACATTTTAAAAAAGATGATCCACTATAAAAAGAATTATTCAAAAAGTGGGACAATCGGGAAGACACCAAAAAAGCATCTTCTTTTAAAAAGTATTTCATTGCATACAAACAAAAAAATAACTTAATTACATTGTTTACACAAGTTCCATGTTCGCCTTAGTTAATTCATTTGTACCTGAAAATTTGTACTAAGGCGAAATGGGATTAATTTTATATAATGATTTTGACAGCTAAGTCGAAATGAGAATAAGCCCATTGATTTTGTTTTTGAAAAATGAAAACATAACTAAATATATATTGCTATATATGTACAGTTATGAGAACTCATGATCCCACACCCTATCGATCCTATTTACTTATACTTTGGCATTGCCTTAGGTCATGCGTTTCTCAAACTGTTTATCGCGTCTTTTTCTAAATCCGTTGGAGGTGTAATGATTGATACTTTAGTATGGGAGAACATGATTTATCTATCAGTAGTAATTGGCTTTGACTAGCTTTCAGTAAATGCGAGTACTCTTATTTTGGGGCTTTGTGTCTATTGTTTTTATTATCGATCTTTTCAGTTAAGCCAATTGCAACTGATTTTTACAGTTTGTTGTGCTATTACGCTACTGTCCTATGTTAATTAAGGGATGGTTGAGCGCTCACAAACATGTTAAACCCCGGCCACGTTCGTGATGTGCCTGCCCCAAGGCAGGGGTCTGTAGTTCAGTGGTTGTCGTTGGTTCATGCCTGTCATATTTGTCTTTCGTAAATTGTTTCCTTATATATTAGGCTGTTAGTTTTTTCGTTTGAATTGTTTCACATTTTTCATGTCAAGGCTTTTTATAGCCGACCATACGGTATGGGATTTTCTCATTGTTGAAGATCGTAAGGTGGACTTTAATTGCTTATATCCACTTCATTTTACCCCTGGTGGATAGTTGTCTCACTGGCAATCATAACACATCGCCTTATTTTTATATAGGCAGGACTTTTATTACTAAAAATACGAGCTCTTATCCCAGCAAAGTACCATAATTGAAAAGATAAAAAAAGGGGAAAATAAAATTGTGCAAATAAAGAAGAGAAAATACATAATGATGTTACAAAAAACTTTAACAAGGAAAATCATCAGATATTGATGGAATCTCAGCCAAACATTACAAAAAAGTTAAAGCTGATCTTCTATCACTCGTATTGCTTATCCTCAATACAGTAATATAACAACTTTACATCCAACAGATGTTGAAAGGAAGTATATTGAAATCATTAGTGAAAGAATAATAGTTTCGTCAAAACCCAGCAAACTAAAGAGGAAAACCAGTGACCAAAATCTGCTCTAAAATCCTACATAGTATATTCAAATCCAGAAAAGATATAAAATCCCACCAAATCCAAAACAAACTACAACAAGGATTTACAGAAACCCATCCTATGATATTTGGTGCCTTCCTGGCTTCGGAAGTTATAATTCAATCTTGTGAAGATAACCAGAAAAACCTGCTACTAACTTTGGATGCAGAAAAGGCTTTCTTTAAACTCGAACATGAAATATTATTTAGCAAGATCTATCCCTTATGGCATAAATGGTGACATGTAGATTATACTCCGTAATATGTATGGAGATATGAGCATTAAAATTAAATAGAACGATTTTGTTTAGCACCAAATATCTGTCAACAGAGGTGGATTTAGGGGCATGAAACCATGCAAAGGAAAATTCTAAGACAGCTTCAGGGCCTTCCCAATCAAGTAGCAAACACAGCAATCTTATACCCTAATTTGGGCTCCTATTCCGTATTTGCCATATATTTAAAGTTCAAGACATTAACCTTTAGTGCTTTGCTTTAGACTGTTTACATCCGCACGCATAGCATATAATAGTGTACACTTCTTGACTGGTTATGAGGGTAATAGCAAGTTTGTTGTTCCGGAGATACAAACTATTGCTCGAGACGATTCTTCCCAGAAAATTCTTCTGATTTGAATATGTTGAATACAGAGAATTAGTTTAACATGTTGAATAAAGGCAAATATTAAGTATGCAAGTTATGAAGTGTATCCCCATAACGTAAACTTCAATATGGCACCTCTTAATCATGGATGAAATGTTGCGTTGAACAAAATTTTTGACAAACAGATAACGTTTAGAATCCAAAAACTTGAATTTATCATTTAAATAATTTTGATATCAGAAAATTAGGAGTAAATAGTAAAACGGCGCCTCATACATCAAAGACATTGAAGGATGATTTTTTAATGAAAATAGATTTGAGGTAAAAATAAAAAAGACAAGTAATCAGAAATATGCTTTTAGGCTTAAACTTTTGTATCGTTTTATGGACGTGTAAACATGACTTAAGAGAAAAACTCCAAACTTGATGGTTAAAGACAATCTCTATATAATAGGCATACGAAACATGGAATTCGTGTACCTGATGAATATAAGTCCGCTGTTCAAGTATTGATGATATCGAGACCTGCTATATAATACTGTAATATAAAAGCAGTGATCTAAGGATAGAGTATGGCATAGATGCATTCGAGTGCTGTAATATTTAATCCCTTTTCTTTTCAATAGTTTTTTTCATTATGTAATCATATTATATCATATATTCGATCAAATACAACATGTGTGCAAATATCATGTCTATAAAGAAGTATCAAAGATACATTAAACATGTTAAATGGATACAAGTTATTCTGTAATATTGCTATTGAAATAGACCCGTACCATATGTTACTTAGATGATGAGTTCATAAAATCAATCCACTTTTGCAAGAAATACACTTTGGGACAAAAAAAACTATCCAGAATAATAAAAGATAATAAACGTACAGCACTCGGCCTCGTTACAACAATTTTTTTTTAAACTAAATCAGTTCGAACTAGGAATAAAATTGAATATTGTCGATGGGGCAATAGTATGTATTTTTTTGTTTTTTTTTTTTTTGACTGGAAGGATTCTAGTATTTAAAATTTCGATTGTATCAAAAATGTTTTATGATTGTCAGAAATCTGTTTGTCTCTCGTCTCGACTTTTCCTGATCAACAGCAAATCAACCAATCTCTATTGAGACAAGAAAGAAATGCGGATAACTGGTTTCACCCGTCCATCAGAATGATTAAGGGAAAGGAGACATGAATTTGGCTGTTCATGAAATAATTAAAAATTATTGCTGTGAATGGAGTGTAAACTTCAAAGCAAAACACATGTTGGTGTAAAAAATCAACGCCGTTGTCGCCCCAAGACCCCAACAACACCTCTATTTAGGAGTCGAAAACAAGACAAAGTTTTTGTCCCTACATAATGTTTTTAGTTGCACTCAAATTAGTTGGCTTTTTTTTCGTAAACAAATTGATATATTAATTGAACAATTGTCACTGGACTTTACAATTAAATAAACAACTGCATAAATAGTATATACAAAACTTGAAAAAACTAACTAGTTACTATTATAATATGAATAATAATAATACCGTATATGTTCAGTTCATTATATTCATGATACTTACATGATAAATAAATCTGATTTCTAATACATCTGCTTCAGTTTATGGGCAATTGACTAATTTTGTTGCTTGACCAATTAACACATTTTAAAAGAGATTTTAAACCGAAAGAGTTAAAACATACATGTGAGTTATCGTAAGTCGCTGTGACTAATTTTTCCTCGTTTAGTATATTTCTTTAAATACGAAACATAACTCTTTTGAGGCATGCATATTTCAAAAGAAAAATCTATTAATTCAAACTGAAGAAAAATTGTCAATAGCATTCGTGATTGTATATTTATCTAGGTACATGGCAAACTAGTCTCTAGTTTTTAGACGTACTTCTAAACTATGAATGAAATTATTGTAGTTTTATTGTTTTGCATATTGGATGGCACATTCGGTTGTACAAATTGCCCGGAGCACCAGAGTCAAAATGTGAAAAATGACCTATGTCGCAAAAATACAGATGGTCAGTACAACACAAATGGTAAGTACATTTTTACAATTTTCTTTTGTTTTTTTTCATATATAATTAGGTCTATATTTAATTTCATAATTTAATTATAACTATGATTGTTTATGAATCATAAATCTAAAATGGAATCGATTTATGACTTGTTTACTCTTGGTATTTACATATTTTTTGAAGATTTTTTACTTAACTTGGTCCTCTTCGTGCATACTTGCACATAAGGTCATCACCATATTGTTAGAAGCTATTAAATGATCGCTTACATATCTAATCTCAACATGCGTAGATGGCTTTACATGTCAATAAATGTTATTCAAAATTTTCACAATCTAAGGTTTTAAGACATGATGACGTAGTTCCAAGTTCAAACCGGCATGGCTGTCGTGGTTAATCGTATTTATTCGTGTGTATTTTACCGCGAGAGAATTTGCATCTCTTTACCTACCCACACTTTCATTAGATCAATATTAGTTATGCATTATTTAGTGAAGTTGATAATCACTTTAGAGGGAAAAGAAACCCATATAAAGCATTTGCATTGTTTTAATTACTCTTTGAAAACCAATGCCCCAGTTTATGCACGGATTTATGATATTTTAACTGATATACTCTCGTCATAAATGAATGTATCATGGCTTATGATATTTTAGTTGACAGACTACCGTCAAACTTGTTTGTAATCAGATAATCGATGTTGACATAACTAGTCATACTCTAGATTTCGTCGTGTGAAATCTTAAAATGATACAATTCCCATTTTTCTAACTGTTGGGAAATTGAATATTAAGTTTAAAAACTCAATAGACTGAGACACAAAAAAAGTTATATAGGAATAGAGTTTGCGTACATGAAAAGTAACTATTTGTTCGATTGTTTTTTTAATAGAAAAACAATTTAGATAAATAAAGCATTCCCTTTTCTGGAGATAAAACATTTTACAACAAACAATGTTGTTTTAGTTTATACCTATATTTCTATTGGAGATAGACCATGGATTTTCTAACTGTGTAATATCCCCCAATCTAATTAAAGTATAGCGAAATCAGAGAACTATATTTTAATTATATTGTAATATCACCAAGTCTGGACTGCTGGATTTGCTAAGAATTGCTCATAGATTGAGTTCAAACCATGCAAACAATTTAAGCATAGTACTAGAACTACTAAGATAATTTTGATAACGACTATTTTGCAGCAAAAATACCTGGAAAATAGTACAGATACAACACTATTTTCTCGGAAATAATTCGATGAATAAAATATGATCATCCAATGAGAGTGTGGAGATAGAACGGTGTAGTTCTTACAAAAAACTCGTAGAGTGTAGAAAAATAGTATTAATATTAAATATTAAAAAATGCCTCTCCTTTTTTTCTACCTATGAATTTCCTGAAAGGTTAGGAGTCGGACCACTGATTTATGGCTTCAATAGTGACTTCTATGATTCTTAAAGAAGACCCTGAATTTATCGTTTCCTTGAAGTTTGGTTCCAATGAAGTCGTCAAATGATTTGCACGAATCTTTTATTCCAAATGTTCGATGATTTTTAACACATAGAAAATAAGAGAAAAAGGTAGGCACATGTAAACTGCCCCCAAAGTAAGATTGTGTTTACGATAGCAAAAACATAATATTTTTTTATTGAGAAAATAAATAAATCAGAATAAAAAGGGGGTTTACCCCAACCCTGATATACTATTCCCAGTCCATGCATATAAGTGCATGTTCATAGATCTCCGTTGTAGTAGAACTTAGAAATAATGCATCCAAGTATATTTGATTTAGTCGTTTTCCTGTGAATTGTTGTTATGCGTTTTGCCTCCATTGAATAACAGGTAAAGGTAATGGGGTAAATCAGCAATTTAAATTTGATTTCACGCTTTATTTCTCTCAGTTTACGTGCACACGCTATTGTTCTGGAGTCTGTCGTATAGAAATTTGTATTAATGCAGTCACATTCTCCCTAATTTTCTTTGGGACATCTTTAAATATAAATCACGATCTCCAATTCTCTAAACGTCCATTGCATACGCGCGTTTGCAATCCGACACCTCATCCGGGACAATTTCCGCGCGTTTGCAATCCGACACCTCATCCGGGACAATTTCCGCGCCACATGACACTTCTGTTGATATTGAACATTTGCGCATCCGCAAACGGATGGCCGGAAAAATAGAGATTGTAAACTATTCTTCCGGCTAGCCGGAACAATAGACACTCCGTTTTTGGTATAGTATAGGTCACCGTACGGCTTTCAACAATGGACAAAACTCATACCGTATAAACAAACACTCTGTAAAAGTTCCCGGTTTAATATGTTATTGGATTTATGATAATTCAACTGACAAACTACCGTCTTACTTGTTTGTATCTGGATAAATGATATTTCAGCTGACAAATAGCCGTCTACTTGTTTTCGTCTGGATAAATGATATTTCAGCTGACAAACAACCGTCTACTTGTTTGTATCTGGATAAATTATATTTCAGCTGACATACAACCGTCTACTTGTTTGTATCTGGATAAATGATATTTCAGCTGACAAATAGCCGTCTACTTGTTTTCGTCTGGATAAATGATATTTCAGCTGACAAACAACCGTCTACTTGTTTGTATCTGGATAAATTATATTTCAGCTGACATACAACCGTCTACTTGTTTGTATCTGGATAAATGATATTTCAGCTGCCAGACTACCGTCTACTTGTTTGTATCTGGATAAATGATATTTCAGCTGCCAGACTACCGTCTACTTGTTTGTATGTAGATAAATGATATTTTAGCTGACAAACAACCGTCTACTTGTTTGTATCTGGATAAATGATATTTCAGCTGAAATGCTACTGTCTACTTGTTTGTATCTCGATAATAATATTCCAGCATACATACTACTATCTACTTGTATGTATCTGGATAAAGGAAATTTCAGCTGACAAACAACCGTCTACTTGTTTGTATCTAGATAAATGATATTTCAGCTGACAAACAACCGTCTACTTGCTTGTATCTGGATAAATGATATTCCAGCATACATACTACTGTCTACTTGTTTGTATCTGGATAAAGGAAATTTCAACTGACAAACAACCGTCTACCGTTTGTACCTGGATAAAAATTATATTTCAGCTGACATATATACTACCGTCTACTTGTTTGTATCTGGATAAATGATATTTCAATTAACATATATAATACCGTCTACTTTTTTGTTTCTGGATAAATGATATTTCAGCGGACATACTACTGTCTACTTGTTTGTATCTAAATAAATTATATTTTACTTTAGTTGACAAACAACCGTCTGCTTGTTTGTATCTGAATAAATTATATTTCAGTTGACAAACAACCGTCTACTTGTTTGTATCTGGATAAATGACATTTCAGTTGACTTAATTCGGATTACTTCTTTTATAACTGACCAATTGCATTCAAAAAGCATCTGATTATAAGGCTTAGATATTTCAATTGTCATTATTTTATTTTAGCCCAGAGCTGACTTTATTCTTAAGTTTATTTGTATATATTTATTCATTTTGAGTCATCATGAGGTCTTAGCATTGGTTGAGGATATAAATCACGGATAAGTGAGATCAGACTCTTTTTTAAATATATTGAAATAAAAAACATTTCATGAATAAACCTAACGTTTACTCTTTCATAATTTGTTATGCTAAAGTCATTGTGAAATTGATATACCAGTATTTTGAGTATATGCCCACGAGGGTCCATGATTGGTCAATACAAATCTTGAATCTTAAAATAACAGATATCTTTATCCCTAGTACTAGAAAATGTAATTGTGTCAACTATAAGGTTTCAACCCCTCAGTCAAAGATGACCGTAGATAATTTTGGCTGTTTTATATTAGGTCCGATTGGTTTCTGTGTTCTGAGATTTTTAAGGCTTTTCAAACTTTTGGTCTCGATCGCACCTACTCCTACTACCAAACGTGGGTGCATATTTATACATCCCGCTTTGTCACAAAACTGCCCGCTGTTTAGCATGGGGTTTATTGCTGAATGGGAGAATTTCCGCTGATCATATTTCTGTACCCCAGTGAATGTTTATATGTGCAGTGAATCGGAATGCATGAATTAATTTTACATGTTTTAAATAAATGAAATAATGAAGTAAAATAGTTCGATTTTAAACGTGTTACAACTGTCGTGAAATATTTTTTTTATCGTTCTATGACACCAGTAGAAATGTGCATATAACTAACGTATTATTTAGTATTTCAGTGTACAATACTAGAAGTAAAAGAAATGATTCCCGATACAAATAGTATTATGGAAACATCGGACCAGCTTGACGTCATACAACTGTATTATGTTGTTGAAATCACAAAAGTCTACAAGGTAAAGATGTTAAAACTTTAAAGCATTTGTTGCATGTGTTGAAATTTTACAGTCTTATTTTGTTATAAAACGCAAGTAAAATTAAGGATATCTTATGGAACGCCATGACTGTCTTCTGATGTTGATTGTTAAATATGTTCGGTGCTTTATGCATTACGTTCAGTAGTATTTATATTTTGTTCAGTAGTTTTCATATTCTGTTCAGTAGTTTTGACATTTAATTTATGTTCAGTAGTTTTGACATTATGTTCGGTGCTTTGGTTATTATGTTCAGTAGTTTCATTATTATATGCAGTGGTATTTAAATTATGTTCGGTACTTTTGACGTTATAATCAGTGCATTTTTCATTATGTTCAGTACCATCGACATTATGTTCAGTAGATTCAACATTATTTGCAGTACATTATGTATTACCTTGGTTTCTTTATATTCGGTGGATTATTCATTATGTTCAGTAAAAGCATCAGTTTTATACTCGGTTCAATGAACTATATGTTCAGTAGTTGTATCATTATGATGATGCAGTGAAAGTCGGGAAATCAATAACGGAAATTTTCAGAAAAAAACGAACGCGGAGATTTTCGACAGACGTTTTCTTCATGGATACTTTAACGGGATCAGGAATGAAAATGGAAGAAATGGAAGCAGTATTAAATTGGTTTGGTTTACGTTGACACGTTGGCAATTTTCACAAGGAAAAAAAATACTCTTGACTTAATTTGTAAGGTGTCATGATTGATTGATTGTTTGTTGTTTTCTGAACGTACAGTGGCAAATATTCACGCATATTTGTGACGGAGAGAAGAATTTTTAAACAAGAAATAAGAAGCTGCATGCGTTGTCGTTGATACACCATGACCATAGAGAGAAAGACAATCAGCAAAAAATAAAATATAAAAACATATTCTATAGCTTTTGTATTCCTAGTAGCCCACGGTAACCCTTTTTGTTGGTTGGTTGTAGCATATTAATCTCATGCACCGACTTTTAAGAGACCACGAAAAATCTTCTTGCAGATACTCCTATAGTATTCTGCATCCCACCCCGCTAATAGGCGCTTAAATATCAGATATTTATTTGAAATAACCCAAGATAAATGAGGTTGTAGATGAGGTTTACAGAATAGAGAAAGTTGATTCGTAAATATGACCATATCAATGAAAATTCATGGTAAAACGGATTAGCCTCGAACCTGTATCTGGATATTGTCAATCTATTCCTCTTCATTCTGGCTATCTTTGGTGGATTTAGAGACTAAATCCAGAAATATGTTTTTAAACGCTCTGTTCAAGTACAGATATTAAGTTATTGGTTTGGGTAGTTTCTAGTCTCTTATTAAACAATAATAGTCATGTTTTATGCATTACTTTAAAATAATAACCATAACTGTACAGAAATGGTGAAAATTTGCACATAATTAAAGTTTTGCACTTTGTATTTTGATATCCATTACCTGTCTAATAGACAGTCTATGGTAATCATATTTACACTTATAGACCTAGTTAGTTTTTGTGTATACAGCTTGAATTTGGAAGATTAAAAATCTTAATAAATGATTTTAAAATGACAATCATACTGATACTCAATGTTCATTGTTTGTAGCACTTTGTACAATATTTCATTTTATACTCTTGCATACCAGCATAAATTTCAATGTAGCTCTTTGAAGGTATGAAATTTATGACTAGTTGTTTTCTGTTTTTTTTTTTTGCTATTGCAGAGCTTTTTGTTGTCATTTTTGTCTGAACTCTATCACGAACTGTTTTATCATTGTTGTAATAATTTCTGACACAATGCAGGAGAAGAATGTAAGATTATCTTTGTCTGCAATAGTGGACGAAATAGTACGTCAAGATTTGTTAACTCGTGCAAGATCGTGATTTACGAGGAAAATATCGAATGTACATAATTTGCATGGTAACATCAAATAACCAGTTCTGATTACGACCAGTTCAACATTTCATTTCATATCAATGATAAATTCGGTATGCAGAAAAAGTTAAGTTATTCTGTTAATCATTTAATTCTGTAATCCTTTTTTTTTTATACCATTTTCCAAAGTTTTAAACATTTTTTTTAAAGCACTCCTTTATTCTCTATTCTTTATTTTTTGCCCACCTCTTTTTTGGGGGTAGGGGCATTATTCTCTATTCTGTAAACCTCATCCATAACCTCAAATATCTTGGGTTATTTCAAATAAATATCTGATATTTAAAGAAGGAGATTTTTGGTGGTCTCTTAAAAGTCGGTAAGTCGGTGCATGAGATTAATATGCTACAACCAACCATCAAAAAGGGTTACCTTCTAGAAATACAAAAACCATAGAATATGTTTTTATATTATATTTTTTGGCTGTTTGTCTTTTTGTCGTCTCTCTATGGTCATAGTGTATCAACGACAACACATGCAACTTCTTATTTTTTGTTTAAAAATTCTTCTCTCCGTCATAAATATGCGTGAAATATTTGCCACTATACGTTCAGAAAACAACAATAAATCAATCATGACATCTTACAAATTAAGTCAGGAGTATTTTTTTCCTTGTGAAAATTGCCAACGTGGGAACGTAAACCAAACCAATTTAATACTGCTTCCATTTCTTCCATTTTCATTCCATCCCGTAAAAGTGTCCTTGAAGAAAACGTCCGTCAAAAATGTCCGCGTTCGTTTTTTTCCGACAATTTCCGTTATTGATTTCCCAATTTTAACTGCATCATCATAATGATACAACTACTGAACATATAGTTCATTGAACCGAGTATAATACTGATGCTTTTACTGAACATAATGAATAATCCACCGAATATAAAGAAACCGGGACCACTGAAGGTAATACATAATGTGCTGCAAATAATATTGAATCTACTGAACATAATGTCGAAAGTACTGAACATAATGCAAAATGCACTGAATATAACGTCAGAAGTACCGAACATAATTTAAATACCACTGCATATAATAATGAAACTACTGAACATAATAACCAAAGCACCGAACATAATGTCAAAACTACTGAACATAATGTCAAAACTACTGAACAGAATATGAAAACTACTGAACATAATATAAATACTACTGAACGTAATGCATAAAGCACCGAATATATTAAACAATCAACATCAGAAGACAGTCATGGCGTTCCATAATATCTCATGTCTATAGTTATCATCACGTTCAGAATGAATGTTGATATGTTAATGTCAAATAAACAAAAAGCAATATTGATCAACATTTAGTTGTATTTACACCAAAATTTCGTTAAATGAATTTGGAAACCCTGTATTTATCATGCTTTTCAATAACATATGTTCAAATTGCGGACAGACCCCCCCCCCCCCCCCCCCCCCCCCCTCCTAAATTATTGAAAACAATCATTCTGCATTGACAATACTATCTTGATGTAAATTATATACGCCGTCAAGGTGTATCTAATACATACAATTCATTTACTCTGAAGTTGCGTTGGATATCAGTTTTCAGTTATAGTTCTGGTAAGAATTGGACAATCGGGATTAGTAACTACAGCCATCATACTTCATTTTTCCCTCATTCCTAAGGGAAAAACTTATGAGTTTTCCCGTCTATCTTTACAGTAAATATAAAAATAAGGAGATGTGGTATGAGTGCCAATGAAATACTATCCATGCACCAGAGTTCAAATGAAGCGGATATAAGCAATTATATATATAGGTCAATCTAATTAAAATATAGATCTCGGATTTCATTATACTACATTATACTACATACGAAGCTTCGTATGAAGTATAACGTAGTATAACGAAATCCGAGATCTATATTTAAAATATAGATCTCGGATTTCGTTATACTACGTTATACTACATACGAAGAAGCTTCGATCTCGGATTTCGTTATACTACGTTATACTACATACGAAGAAGCTTCGATCTCGGATTTCGTTATACTACGTTATACTACATACGAAGAAGCTTCGTATGTAGTATAACGTAGTATAACGAAATCCGCTTCGTATGTAGTATAACGTAGTATAACGAAATCCGAGATCTATATTTTAATTAGATTGATATATAGGTCACCATACGGCCTTCAACAATGAGAAAAACCCGTACCGTATAAAAGGCATCAACATGTAAAAATGTAAAACAATTCAAACGAGAAAACCAACGTCCTAATTTACAACAATTTTTTTTTGGAAAAAAACAAATATGACAGATATGTATCTACGACAACCATTAGACAGACACTTAAAGAATGTACTGGGATTAAACATGTTTGTGAGTGCTCAATTCTCCCCCTGACCTAAGACGTGTAACAGCACAACATAAGAACAAACTGTAAAAATCAGTAGCAATTGGTTTAATCTCAAAAGATCGGTACGAGACACAACCACAACTATATTATAACAAAAAAACAATACACAAAACACCGATATAAGAGTACTCGCAGTTATTGAAAGCTAGTCCAAAGATTTGAAGATAAATTGATGCAAGTGTGTGTCTTCTTGAGAATGACACTTGCCGATGAATCAACAAGGAGGCATTTTAGTAGACCCGTGCTAGTATACATTTTAATTCTCAATATACAAAAATCAATATTTACGGAAATTCACACTTTAAAAATTCTAGACAGATGTAGATTTTCTTTGTTCAAAAAGTTTACATTTAATCAAGATGGTCGACAGGTAAAAATAAAGGATTTGAAGGTAAGCTTATTTTTTTCATATTCGGCCTAATTCTATTTTTGCAAGTTATTATAGAAAAAAGTAAAAGTATATATGTAATTGATTACAGTTATACAACTGATTATTTTATTATATTAGACCATTGGAGCATTGCAAGAAAATCATCAGATACAACTTAAAACATCTAACGATTGTGTCCCAGACAAACTGGAAGTTGATCGATCCTATCTGTTGGCAGGTATACTTTCAGTTTCTTAATATCATGTAAATTAATTGGTCATTTTTTTTGTGTAGTCTAAACTGAATGCGTGAAACTAGATAAGAACAAATTATTTCAAATTTTACATACAGTTATGTTAAAGTTTGAAAAACTTAAATTGCGCACTAGAATTAAAGAAAATTCAAAACAAATTTGTAATGTAGTGATTTTCATGCTACACGGAAATTATTCCATATATAGTAACTTACCGTGTAAACGGGGATATATAGTGTCCATGAAAAAGTCGGATTGAGCTTTTGTTGTTTTTCGCTTTATACATTTTGATATCGTGAACACCCATACGTACCCATTATATCATCTGAGGGAGCGAAAAAGAAATTGGCAATATTCATTCATTCATGTCTTTATTTCCTCTTAAAATACGGGCCTCCGCTCCATTATTTCCCAGGAATGGACAGTTATTTGGACTTTCTCTATAACATAATTGAGATATAATGAATACATAAAATTAATTAAATATCACACAACCAAAAGAACAAGAGCAAAAAAGATTTTTTACACATCCAGACAAATATACACTTAAGTCACTCGGCATAAAGTCCCTATGAAATATTTAATGATGACATATCATGTATTGCCTAACCTGAAACAACGCCCATATGTTGCTATGCATTGAACAACATGGAAGTGGCAAAGCTTCTCAAACTCCGAATGTTCGGCAATGACATTTAACGGAAAGTAAAATTTGGTAAACAACCTCATCAGCATATTCGCTTAGTTCGCAATACAGCTATAGTGAACAATTCTCAATAATCATATTCCACCACAATACACGCAGCTCTGTAGTATCCTAGATACAAATAAAGGTACAACATGCATGTACATAAACATCATCAAAGTATTTTTTGCATGCGACGCACTTATTTCCTGATGAATTTGGTATTTCGGTTAACAGTTTTGTGATAAAATAAGGAATTTCATATTTCTGCAATCGATCGTGCTTTTTTCCAGAAGTTGGTCATAGAAACTGTCTTGTGAATATTTCTAAAACGCATAAAATTGTCATCTGACGCAATACGGTTTAACCAGTTGAAACTTGAAATATGACACATAGATTTTATCAATTAAAAATTTAATGAAGCTTATCTTGGAATTTTCTGACATATAGTTCACGATGTTAGCCAAAATTTAATGAAATACAAAATAACCGAAAGCTGAAAATATTAATAAGTGATCAAATATCAATATCGAAATTTATTTTTCAACATTTTGTATCAATGTGTGAAAGTGCAAATTTAAGAAACGGATTGTGGGGTTTCCCTCGTGGTTTTGCGTGATACCATTATATATTAAATACAATTATACTACAGCTCATAAGAATTATTGGAGATGTCGTCATTGAATATAGCACACAAGTCAATTCTAGCCTTGCGGACGGTCTTAAAAAAATCCGAATACGCTTATCGTCATCAGATCCGGCCTGAATTTAAACAATCAAAATACTGCATGGATTTGGTGTTTCGAGCACATATTTTGTTTTCCGAGTACCGAGTAAAGTTTTATGACCGAGACGTTAACAACTGTCTTGCCAAATGGTAACTTAGCGGTTAGTTCTATCAGTTTTATTTTTTTATTAAAGAAGGCACACTAATAAGCCAGAGAACTATAGGGATTAACTGACAAAACACCGGGGGGACTGTGAACAAATTAACAGCTTCGTTTATGTACGTATACGGTGGCATTGAAGACAAAAACAATCAAAACAAAAGTTTTTGTGTGACAACGAACACTATAAAAATGACTGCAAGAATTTCTTCCAATAGCTATGTATAACATAATCACCTACGGATCAATGAGAATAGTTATTTCTCGAGTTCTTCGATGCATGTGTAAACAGCGTGACATTCTCTTAAGGTGTAATACCACCATTGATTTTCCCCTATTAGTCTTTGTTAAATTTGCACTTTTCAAAAAATTGTGCAGAATTTATCTTTGTTTCAAATAAAGAAATACTTGGCATGAGTAAAGTTTTATCCTGTCCAGTACTATAGAAAAAAATTCACATAACATTTCATTGCATATAAGAAAATAACCATCACTGGAAGTTAACCAATCAAATTTCCCCCCTTTTTGAACCTGTGTACAAGCTTTAGTAACCATGTAACCTCAAGTTTCCAAAATATTCTATAGAAACCCCAAATAAAGAAATAATGGTGCTTTGAAATACCCAAGATATATGTTTATGACTCAGAAACGTTTTACTGCAATGAAATGTAGGATCAATTACCTACAGCTGTCAAAATCAAGGGAATATTTTTTTTAGACCTATTTTCGTATGCAACCGAATGTGGCGTACTATGATTTGGTGGTATTACACCTTAACACACAACTTGGACTCAATTTCCTCCAAAGGACTAGAGGTGATTGTTTTTGCCAAGAGAACGCCATCCCAGCACAAGTTGTGCTGCATGTCTGACGGAAGAATTCTGGTTATTCCGATAACACATCTACCCTTGAGGAGCAAGTATTCTGATCTTGCCAGTTTTCCTTGACTGTTAACACAGTGTAGATAATATTCTGTATGCTATCTGGAAGTCGCGATTTTCGAAGCGATGATTTCCAACTGGCTAACAGGACGGTTTTGCCTACGGTGACTTTTCTCATCATTTGTTTACTCCTATATCTATAAAGTGTTTTGAACATCTTCAAGGTATGTATAGCCTCATAAATATGACTAACTGTAACAAAAACATGCATAAGAATATAAAATATACGTGTGCATCACACCAACTTGATAGAAAAAAGTGAAATCGATGGACAATTTTGCTCTCGTAGTACAAAGCAAATAAACTTTTAATGCAAATATTTGCATCAGTTTACAGTTTAATATATACTGTTTCAATATTCTTTTCGTATTTAAGTAGAATATTCGTATTTCCCATAAAAAAATATGTTTTCCTTGAGGATCCCAAAATAAATTACTGTACGATCAGTCTAGAACTGACTGTATTCTAGAAGCGATTTCAGGTTTTTTGACTGTATGACCAGTCGTGATTTTGAAAAAGAAACAACGGCAATTTGAAGGTATATACGTGTCTATGTGATATTATGAACTGTCCAGGGAACTATAACGTGTAATTTCTTTCATCAGACAATACAAATATATTTCTGATGATTTTTGTAGACGGGATTTGTATGGGAACATATATTTGGAATCCCTTTTCTCCTGGATTGAACCCCCTCTCCATTTAAAAATGGCTGGAACCCACAATGTATATTAAGTGGTTTATGAGGAGATGCACTTACAAAACCGACGAAACATATTGTACCGGTCCAACGGAAAGACGGACTTCATTATCACTATAAACCACCGCTTTACAAAGTGGTATACAATTGAGTGTCAAAGAGACAGCTCTACATCCAAAACAAAGTGAAGGAACTGTGATCAATTATAGGCTACAGTACGGCCTCGAATGTGTGTAAATACATGCATTTTTATATAACAATTTAAATCTGTGTGTTTGTACAATTTTAAGTATAACGGAGGACATTTCTGAAACTTATATATACAACAAACCTTCCTCTTATTTTAGCAACATTTAAACATCCTTATACTTAATATAGTAAGTCGAGTACACCCCATCAAGCTCAAACATGTTTCATAAGTTTTCAGGATGTGAATTTATTGAAATATATTTGTGTTATTTAGAAAAATGCCACCTTCTAATGTATCGTAAATAACTTTGAAATCACCACTAGAATACAGTGAAATAAAGACTGATCATACAGTTTCAAAATATACAAGCGAGACTGATCGTACAGTGAGAAATTCAAACAAGTGTAATTTTCTTATTTCTGGCTTCAAAGATCTGGTTGAAACTTTTACCACCACTTGAAATATACTTCATTTAGTTAATTACGTCTGGTTTTTACGTTAATTTGTACACTAAGAAGGTAAAAAGATTGTTTTTAGGTTCACCGACTGATTTTCCTTAGTGATGCACTTGCAAATCTCTTGATTAAGGCAAAGATACGAATAATGAATGTGCTGAATTTAATTCTAAACCATTTGAGAATATCGATGTCAGCTGAATTAATCATTAAGCAATGTACAGATGATCAACTTACCGTTTAATTCAGTATATCAATCAAATTTAAAATGTGATCCAAAAAGTTCTCGCTTCGAAAATCGCTACTTCCGGATAGCGTACAGAATAGTATCTACACTGTGGTTAATGCTGTTAAAATAATCAAAAACGTTTTCATATGAAACCGTACCAAAAATATGGGTAATTCAATTTTTCTGTTTATTTATCATTCATTGCTGTTTTATTTTTTAGCAAATACTGATTTAATAATCGGAAGATGTAACATAGCCAAACTGTCTGAAAATACAAGCAAAGATGATGAAGAGTGGCTGGAAGGAAATAAAACTTGTTCCTAATTTCTCTCTCTGGCCAATAGATATATCAACTTTAAAATTCATTGGGGCATTCGGAATATATACAAATTGAAGTTGTATGATCAAATTACACCTTAAATTTTGTTAGACTTTTAAGGGCATACGATACAGTTTTGATCCCACGGTGATTTTTCTTAAAAAATTTGCATACAAGCTATTTTTCACCTGGTCAATTAAAATATGTAATAAAAAATATACCTTCATGTGCTAGATTTAGAGATATATTGGGTCGAAATTTTAGACATTTACCTAAAACTTTAGTTTCTTGAACATTTCTATCCTTTGGATAGACATATTAAACTTTTCTGTTTCAAAAGATAAACACATACAGATTTTGTAAAACGATTTGGAATATCTGCTTTACAAACGTATTCTCTTAATTTGTGTAACAATTCTTTGGAAATAATTCTTTTTTATTAAATTGTCAAGATTATAGAAAAAAAACGGCATTTTTTGCTGTTTCTTTATCTAATTTAAAATAAATTCATCGGTGATTTCTTCATAAAAATTGGAATAAATAATCTTCATACATTATCAAGTCAAAAATCATTTTAAAAAAGAGGAGTCCATGTACTCGTTTTCACGCTAATGATTAAAATCACTCAAAAAATGCATCTTTTCCCGATATGTCGCAGTTTGACAGCTATCGGATATGTTCCTTATGTCGTAACTACAATACTCTTCCCCTGTCACGAATGTGACCTACCGAATTAGACTATTTACCGGATTTGTTATAACATAAGCAACACGACGGGTGCCTCATGTGGAGCAGGATCTGCTTACCCTTCCGGAGCACCTGAGATCACCCCAGCTTTTGGCCGTGGGGTTCGTGTTGCTTAGTCTTTAGTTTTCTATGTTGTGTCATCTGTACTATTATTTGTCTGTTTGTCTTTTTATTTTTGGCCATGGCGTTGTCAGTTTGTTTTCGATCTATGAGCTTGACTGTCCCTCTGGTATCTTTCGTCCCTCTTTTCTTTGACGTCGCGAAAATATCATATTACGTTAGAAACATCATTACCTCCCCTGTAACTGTATCGTATGCCCTTAACTAATGAACCATAATTACATCCAAAAATTGTCACAATGGAATTATTATGTTAGACTAGTACAGATATCTAATTTAGGCATTTACATATAATTACAAAAATGATCATTCAAAATATCATTAAACTATGACAACTGTGTACTTGTTCTTTACAAGGGTATAAAAAAATGATTCCTTGTCTCCATATGTCTCCACTCCAGAGGCAAATGATACACGTTTGTATATTCTGAACATTACCGTCCAATAACAAATGTTTTATACAAGAACATGCATTTTCAAGACGAGAACAAATTAAACAATCAATCAATTACTAAGGTATCCTGAGAGATTTGAAAGCAGTAAAGACTGGAAATTTTGATTAACTGAAAAAAAGACTTTATGTAGGTTATGGGCAGAGATTTTGTCGGAATGGAAAGTAACTGGACACCATATTTTTTTCGTCAGTAAAACATTGGGTCGCTACTTTGAAAGCCATGAATCTATCTTTTATCCATATCAGAAGAATGACCGAGTGCATTTCTACCACACTTATAACCAGACTGACTATAAAAATCTCGGGACCACGATGAAGAGTTGTTATAAGAACTATCAACATGGGGACTCGTATTCAAGATTTTCAATCAAACTAGACATGGTAAAGTTAAATGTGGTCAAATAGTTCACTGAATACTTAAAAAGGGAATCAGAGACAGAGAATTTTTCGGTAAGAATATGAATAACGAATAACATAAACTGAGGATATATTCAAAATACGCTGCAACTGAAAAACGTACCTGCAATTAATCAACCGTGACAAAATAACTATTACAGTTAAAGTGTGAACCATTTAGAAAAGAAAAAAAAAGAACAATAAGAAGATACCAAGTGTGCAAGATAGGAGGTCCAATATGACAATAATTTTAAAAGGTACACACAGCACTTTGTCAATAAGAAAGAAATGAGACGAAAAAGAAAACTAAATTAGTATTGTGTCACACAAACCCTATAAAATACTGTAGATCAAATCATGTGGTTCTGAAGGATATACAGTTCCTGCAATGACTTGTGACAGCTTTTATCTTTTGTTGTCAAGAATCTTTATAATTGTTTTACAGTCAGGATCCATTTTGAAAGTTCGTTCTTTAGTATACCCAATCCTTTAAAATGAATTATCCATAGTTTATGTGCTTCCACTGGAAAGAAGTCTATAGTTATACAGTTGACCTACCAGTTATAATTTCTGAGATATCTGTCACGTTTTGCACATTCTCTATATGTCTAAGTTTCCGGTCTCTTGCCTTCTTTTTTTTTTAAAGAATCGTGGTCGCATTTAAATTTTAAAATTGCTTGTGCCTGTTATTGAAAGAAGCGTTTTCTAATTTTAATCTAAAATAGCTTTTAATTATCTAACTCTTTGTCTATATGATATTCAGATTCAAAACAATAGATCGTCATATCTATCAACCTAATTGAAAGGACTATGGAAAGCACTTAATATCCTTCCTTTTCAAAGATTTGCAGAAAGTTGTGTTCTTTATATCTGACATCATCAGGCATGGTCGCCTTTCAGTTTCATGACGTCAAAATAGGAAACTCAGAAGAAACCAAGTAATTTGACGTCATAATTAAATTTCGACCAATCATTAACCCGGGTTACAAACTAAAACCGAGAGAAACACATCAACTATAAGAGGAAAATAAATGAACAACAGGAACACTGAAGTGCAACAAAAACAAACGCCAACATACACAGAAACGAACTATTTAATAACAACTGCCATATTCCTAACTTGGTACAGGACATTTTAAGAAAAAATGGTGGGTTGAACCTGGTTTTATGACTAGCCAAACCTCCCGCTTATATGACAATGTTAAAAAAATATCGCAAAAATGACAACACTACGTGACAGAAATACAGCACAAACATACGCAAGAACACTCATCACAGAGAAACGCACAAACAAATGATATAATGGTCGACACAACATGCAAACCGCAGAACAACAACGAACATCTTCCATCAACGACAGACAGTCCACAGGACATCACAAACTGTGACGCACTTACGTAACGAGCATGCAATCTCGAACTTTATACAATTATTTTCACAATACCAGTCAAAACAATTTTCATGACAATGATGGTATTGAAAGGCTGTTTTATAATTATTTGGACTACAAACGTAGTAAAAACACAGAAAGATTAGTAGTAGAGTACTTAGGTGAGATGAACGATGTTGACGGGTTTTTGTGTAGTTTAGGTAACTAATAGCATACATATAAGGGACTTCCAAATGTTTAGAGGAGACATTAAGCTTAGATGTGACCGTAACATGATTGTTTTCTTTTTGACTCTGTTTGGAGCGCATGGCCTTGAATGTAGAAGACTGTTAGATTGCTGATTAACTTGATGTTGATAGTTTGGAAAGAGGGTTCTTGGGGCACTTTGCAGACCCATCAATTTAACGTTGTTTGTAAGGATACTTATGTAACTTAGGTATCCAATACAGTGGAGGAAGATTCAGTTCTGCATCTTTGGTTGAAATTCCATAGGAAAATAGAACAGACCTATGATTATTCAGGATTTCCTCTTTGGTAAGTGTTGCATGGACAACTACATATTTGTCATGGATGTAGGACAGGCGCTTAGCAACATTTGGGTCTTTGAAAATATCGATGTAGCATCATTGTTCAGAGACCCATTCAGTTTTTTTAATTCTAATTTGTATCAACGACCTCAAAGTCTTTAAAACTGTGTTTTCAATTGATGGATTTAAACTTACGGTATAGCGGGCCTTTGGATAACATATTCGCAGAGAAGTGTTATTGACAAAAATGTTCAGGTCACCAGTAATAACATGACCAGCCGGATTACATATGAATGGGGAACTAGCAAAAGTGCAGTCAAGATGTTTTAAGACTTGAAGTCGTCAATATATTCTCCCACTGATAGATTATTGTTCTATAGTTTGAAGTGGTAGTAGACTCGGCTGTTTTTTGCTCTTTGGTCGCGTTGTTGTCTCTTTGACACATTCCCCATTTCCATTCTCAACTTTAGTGCTAAAATGAGCTAGCATAAGAATAATAAAATTACAGAAAGGGAAGCAAGACCAATTTTACATGCTGGTCCACTTTCAGCGTCAGCAGCCTGTTTAAACAGCTTGCATGGCTGACAGTAGAGAACAGAGTCTCGAACCATAAACATGTTTTGATGCATAAATGCTTTAAGCATAAAGCCCCTATATATGTAGGACTCGGAGATGCTATGGGGACGCTGAAGTGCGATGGTCACGCTGAAGTGCGATGGTCTTCGCCGAAGTGCGATGGTCCTTTCGCTGATGTGCGATGGTCTCTAAGACGCGTGATGGCTATAGTTAAAATCTACAGATGTTTAATTAAAAAAATTTATTTCATATCGGTTAGTTTAAATAGTATTTATTAATGAAAAATTACAAGAATAAAATATTACAATACAATGTTAGATAAAGTTCAAATATGGGATTCGGAAACAAGTTTGGAAAAACTTATATAAATCCGTCTTCCAAAAAAAAAATAACATCTATTTAACAAACAATATTACGTGCCAACAGTATATTCAGTTAAGGTAGCATATGATAAATTGAATAAATACACAAAAAAAAAAAATACAACTAACAAATAAAATAAATTAAAAGAAAGAAAATGTGAAACAAAAACAAAAAATGAAACAGTCAACTCTACTGTACTTTCTTGATAGACAGTCACTGGGACCAACACACATGTCCGATTATAGTCATTTACGACGGACACTCCACTCGATTTTACATCGTTTTTTTTTTATATATATATATATACAAGATCAATTTTCAAAACGTTTTGTTTTATTTATGTATTCAGAAACTTTATGAAATATTTGCATATTGTCCTCGTCAGACTTTAAACTGTCCCCATATAAGATAAACTTAAGATTTAAACAAGAGACCGTCCCGATAGTATCCCTTCGAATTTCATTATATTTTGGACATTTGAGGAAGTAATGAGAGGTAGTTTCAGATTCTACACGACCACAGGAACATAGTGCGTTTTCGATAAGATTTTTTTTAATAGATGGTCCCTTAGAACACTACTCTGGAGTCTGAGTCTTGCTAAACATATCTGTTCTCTTCTACAGCCTAAGTGAAAATACAAAGGTATTTTATTAATATTTTGAGAGAGATACGTCTTAAAACCCGATTTTGATTGATTTAAACGAATGTCGTCTGGAATATCATTCCAAAGGTTTATAACGGCTGGTAGAAATGACTTTTGGTAATAGCCTGTTCTGCATAATATAGTTTGTAAAATATCGGTTAAGAATTAGCTTCTCTTGTTGGAAAACAAGGGGCCAAATGACATTCGTTATTCTTCAGTGAAAAATCCCATCGGTCTTTAACAGAAAAAAAAACGGACCAGAAAACCAGTCGTTAACGGACTTTTACATGTTAATGACGTAGTTTTTCTGTTTAGAGTGATGTCCCAATAAAACGCAAACGCGATTCGTTTATTATAAAATTATAGAAAACTTTATTTTGTATTCATATACTGAAAAATTGCACTTAAATGAATGGCGGTGACTTATAGTTATCACTATGACTGGTCTTCACTCTTTCCTATAGAAATCGTACAATAAATCGAGTTTTCTTTGAACAATTTGAATCTTATGAGAATTTTAAAAACATGGTTCCTCAATGAAATAAACATAATAGTTATTGAAGAACTGGTCATTATCGTGATACATGGACTGCCCGTAGGACATTGGTATTGACTGCAACAGCGATAATGACCTCCCCTAAGGCTCAGTCATTATCGCTTTCTTAGTCAATACCACTGTCCTGTGGGCAGTCTATATATCACGATAATGACCAGTTTTTCAATAACTATTATGTAATTTATGTAACGTATATAGCGGTCAATATATAAACGATTGTATGAACTATAATAAATAATTGCTTTTTTGTCTGAATATATTTACAAAGTACACTACAACGTTACAGTTAGGATTGAAAAGGCAATGACTATTTATCATAACTGTTTTTGGTTAAACAGGTTATACTCCCGATATTTTACATTAAAAAACTGAAAAGCTACTTCCAACAAACAATTGACTTTAACATTTACATGTGAACATTGATTTATGTAATCC